ACCTATAGTGGACCAACCTACGGATGGCATGAAGGCATGAAGGGAGTACATTAAGTGTAAGGTGAATATGTCACACTGACCAAAATATCTGCATTTGGTAATTTGCAAAATGTTGACACACAATCAAACATTAATGTCTCTTTAATTGAATCCCAATTATCTCAATGTATACATCATACTTTTGGGTGTGGTTCAGTTACTTTCTTATCCTTAAAGTGAAACTTTAGTCAGAAAATTAAGTTCTGCTAGATCACGTCATGCTGGCCCTTTTTGCAGGTATAGCTATGTAAAATATTAAACTACTCTATTCAAAATCCAGTAATACACTGTCTTACCCTGCAATGCACATGCTCATTTGCTCTCTATTTTTTGGCACTGTGCCTAAAATGTAGCGGCCAATCTGCTGAGAGCCTAAATATTTATTGCTGCTCATGGGCTCTGGGCTTCAGCAAAATGGCAGCCTCCAGCAAGAAGAAACAGGTATAATGCTGGAGGCAATTTACAGCACACACTCATTTTGGTAGCATATTTATCAATGTGGAATGTATGTTCCATGCTAAAGAACATTATTTTTTATCAAGTTGTTATGGGTAAAGTTCTGCTTTAAGCTGAACTCTGGGCACAAAAACATTTAATTGAACATATTCCATAATAGCCACAGATATAAATCCACCTGTGTACACCAAATCAAAATATTAGCTTGTAAAATTAGTAGCGATGTCATCATTGTGCTACACAAAGCCTGAACAGAGAAAACATATTATATATACATATCTATATATATATATATATATATATTTTTTTTTAATTTTTTTTTTTTTTTGAAGTTTTTGTTTTTGTTACCTCTCATGAGATGCATGGGGTTTAAATATGCTCTAGCATAAAATCCTAGCATTTTTGCCTGCTCAGGAAGCCGCAGTTATTGCCCACAGCTGGTCATAGAAGTGAATGGCTGTACACATCCATATTTAGATATAGGCTGATGCTTTAGTGCATCGGCATATACACACGCGCATGTATGACGTATTCCCCAAATGCGCAGTTGCAGACTAAGCTGTTTCTTCCCAGAACCCAGTGTTCAAATTAGTTTAAATAAACTTCATTAATGCATTATACATATATTATTGATTAAAAACATATGTGTTAGCGTTCACATAAAAAGAGTAGAAAGAAAAACTTACTGATCTTTAATTTACAGTAGAGAAAGGACAGGTTATAACATCAAGGTTACAGATCCTAGCATCTGCTCTGTTGTTCAGTAAATTGTGAGCGTTCTGAAACTGCAATTCACACACAGGCCATTCAAGCTACTTATAAATGAATCCTTACGGACCAGCTTGCATACTAGTTGACAAATTTATATCTTGATTAAAATTTTATGCGAACTATAGGGAGATCATAAGCCAGAAACACGGAGTGAAACTTGATTGATATTTCTACCTTCCTCTTGCCTGGTACAGTACACATGACCTTTCAGCTCCACATGTTATTTTTACTGAAGTGGTGTTTGCCCTATCAGAATTCTGACAGATCTGTAGTTCAAGGAGAAATATGTCCAGATGTTAGAGGAAATGCAGCACTATATAATTAGAAAGATCAGCTAGAGGCAGAGCAAAAATCAAGATGTTTTTAACATCAAACGCTGCGTCCAGAACTTCCCCTGACTTCAATCATCATTTTCAGAAGCTTGCATGAAGAAACAGTGTAGAAAAAAACACCTTGCCAAACAGTAGGATTATAAAGTAGGAGTTGAGGGAATGTCCTCACCAAGCTCTAATTACAGAATGACATAATACTGGCAATTTAAAGGCAAACCTTGAATTGCACACAAGGAGCACTGCCTACCTGCCTAGTATTTCAGGTTTTCATTCAGACATTGCTATAGTGCACTAATCCATCCCAGCCCTTTTTGTTGGTAATCTGGTGATTTGAGAACCCCTGCTTGTGATGCAAGAAAGCTATTCCCAATCATACCAGCTGCGAGATCCTTGCTGTCAGTCACACAAAAAATGTCATTACTTAGACATTTCTCACAGTCTCCATTCAAATCTAAAATTTAAATTGGAAGTTTGAATGTGATTGGTAATGCAGGAGGTAGACAAACAAAAGACTTTTCACCAGCCATTCTCAAGCAGGTCAGGCCGCTAGGGGTTCCTAGCTGAGTTTAATTGACCTTCCAATTGATGGTGCCTGACAGGACCAGCACTATTTGTCAAAGCCAGGAAAAAAACAAAAAAGGATGCTAGATGCAAAGGTAAGTATCACCCCTCAATAGGATATCAATTGCTAAAATAATTTAAAAGAGTCCATGTAGGTCCATCACTAGGGCAAGCTGATCCAGAAGCTGAAGCAGGCTCTATGGCACACAGTAGATAAGAACAAAAGAAAAGCAACTCTAAGACCAATAATTCATTAAAACCCAATACATGGCCATTCACATTTCCATAGTTAAAAACAGGCTCAATGTCTCATCAATGTCTCAGGGATGTCAGGATGGAGGTTCGCCAGGTAGAAGATGTTGGGTCTAGCACCAGTCGTTCACCAGAAGAGGAGAGGAAGCCAGCCAGTATCTCTCGGTGTGCTTCACGGACATCCAGTGAAATACTGGCCAGTCTCCTTTCCTCTGGTGAACAACTGGCAATAGACCCGGTGTCTTTTTCCTGGTGAACTTCCATCCTGGCAACCCTGAGATATTGATGAGCCTTTTTTAAATTATGGAAATGTGAGTGGCCCTGTATTTTGTTTTAATAAATTACTGGTCTTACTACACTTAGAGGCGGTTTTTCTTTGTTCTTATCTCATTTGGCAAAGCCAACAGCATGATACCTATGATTGCTTTAGCTATCTGTAAGGGTGGAATTCTGACCACTACTGTAAGGGTTTTATTCTTCCTACTGTCCACCAATGTATAAAGCATTTTTCACATTGCCCCCAGATGAATTGATTTCAGTAAGGGTTTCCTGAGACCTGAAAACTATTTTAGGAGTTCCTCTGGGATTAAAAGGTTGAGAAATGTTGCATCACTGAGTACAGACGTCAGGAAGTACACTACCAGTGACCCTGTGATGCACTCTTTGGATTGTAGCAAGAGTGGATCAAAGCTGGACAGGAGCTTAGTCTGCATTCACACATGAACAGAAGGCAAGCACAGCATATTCCTAGTGATTTTGAAACAATTATTTCAGGCATTTTACAGGCATATTACAAGCATTTTCTGCATGTTTATCAAGCTTCAGGAGTGTGTTACCTGGGATGGGCAAGTTTTATAGGAGGTCAGTTCTTCGAGTGTAAAAACTCACACAAAGTGCACTTTTACAGGTGCTCCCATTGAATTCTATTGGACCTAAAATGTCTAAGTATGCAAAAAAAATCATGTACCTTTTTGAGTGTAGAGCGTAGGGCGATTGAGCATACAAGTATGAACAGGGACAATAAGAAACAATGGGATACTGCGTGTTGAGCATAATCAAGCATAGCATGGCATAGGGAAACAATTACAAAAACACTTGTGTGAATGGAGGGCTGATGGCCTGGTAAATATTCAGGGGGGCCTGCTACAACCTTTATTTTCCTTTAGTAACCAGAGGATAGCACAGTTTGGAAAATCAGCAAACTTGTCATGATAAGATAGGATCCACATGTATTTATTTATATTGTTATGGAATAGGTTTTATATAGCATCAACAGTTTGTGCAGAACTTTAAAATAAACTAAGATATTACAGTTAAAATACAATTCAAGACAAGAGGGTTAGGGGGGGCCCTGCTTAAGAGAGCTTACAATTTAACAGGAAGGGTCAAGTGATACAACAGGTAATAACTGAGTGGGAAGGAATGGATGAAGAAAGTAAAAGTCAAGTTGTTAGGTAGAGACGGGATAGGCTTCCCTGAAGAGATGGTTTTTCAGCAATTGTCTAAAGGCAGACAAAATAGGAGATAGCCTTACAGACTGAGGTAGGCAGTTCCAAAGGATTAGAGGGGCTCTGGAGAAGTCCTGGAGGCAAGCATGAGAGAAGGTGATGAGAGAGCTTAGTGAGCAGGAGGCCTTGGGAGTTGACAGTTTAGAAGATATTTTATGACAAGGTTGGTAATGTAGCTTGGGGCAGAGTTGTGCACAGGATTGTATATAGTTGTTAGGATTTTGAATTCTATTTGTTGGTGTTTGATGAGGCCATGTCAGTACAGACAATGCAAATGCAGGAGCTCATATGTGCTTAATGCAATCCTTATCAATATTGATCAGAGGTAAAATGTGTTGGCCTAGGATGATACCTTGCCTAGGGCCTCATTCTGCGCTAATCCACCTGTGGAGTGGATTAGAGATAATTCTATGAAGCTTCTCACTTTAGTACAGTGTTTACTAAATAGATCACTGACTGATTGGTCTCATGTTTGGGACTGGTCTTTAATAGAAAGCTATTTTTTTCTATATAGTTTTTCCAAACGCTTAAATTCATTTGATTTCTTGTTAGTAAATGGCATGGGAATTGTGTTATTATTCTGAGATATTTAGGCAAAAACCATAGTTATAGCTGTATTCACAGGGTCCATCTGTTATTAATATTATTATGTAATCTGAGTCATTATAGAATCATGACTAACCACAGTTTTGTTTCCCATTTGCAGAATGGAAGAATTGTAGACTTCAGAGTGACCTTTTCAAAGGGCTCTATGAATGCACATGTGGCTAATCTGAGAAAAATCAAAGACATACTGTCAATATCCAAATTAATATTAGCCTATTGTGAACCAACTTGTCTGTATATGGAGAAAAAAACGATTGCAGTAGATGTGTGTCAATTTCTAATACAAAGTGGGGGATTTACTAAAGCTGCAGCACTGGTACAGCTGTGCATGGTAGCCAGTCAGCTTCTAACATCAGCTTGTTCAATTAAGCTTTGACAATAAAACCTCAAAGCCGATTGGTTTCTATGCAGAGCTGCACCCAATTTTGCTCTCTCCTGTTTTAGTAAACAGGGGCGGACTGACAACTCATGGGGCCCCCGGGCAATAGGGGATCATGGGGCCCGTGTCCTTGCCCAAACTCAAAAAAGCCTATGAAAAAGGTACCAGGGGCATCTCAAAGGGCCCCCTAGAAATTCCCTTAATTTGCAGGGATTTCCTCTCACTTCCTGTTTGGCTATGGGACAGGAAGTGAAGTGAAATCTCTGAAATGTGACACAGATGGCAAAAAAAAAATCTGACAGGGGTTACAACCCTCCCTTACTCTATCCAAAATGGCAAAAAAAAATTGCCTATAGTTCTAATTTAACAGAGAAATAGAGCAGCAGCCATGTAAAAAAAGTAGCAGTTGAGTAAACAAAGAATTTGTTCCACCCTACGCATTTCATCACCTGACGTCTTCACGGAGTGGAAGGGTGTGAAGACATCGTGAAGATGTCGGGTGACAAAACGCGTAGGATGGAGCTTCGGACTAACGTCACTACGTTCTGTAAGAGGCTGGCGTGCCTGGTTTTCTGTGATTTTAACGAAATGTGTTTGTTGCTAGTGTCGGCTATGACACTGTTCCATGTGAGTGGATTATGATGAGATTTTATGAATAAACGTGTCGTACGGTATCACACGATCGTTTGCTTTGTTTTTTCTTTCTTTCCTGAGCCTGTGCTCAGTTTTTGGAATTCGGTTTCAAAGATTTCGCAGCTGAGTTTATAGATTATTATTATTATTATGCAGTATTTATATAGCGCCAACAGTTTGCTCAGTGCTGTACATTATAATGGGAGACAGAACACGAGACAGCACAGTAACAATACAATGCAATACAAGAGGGGTTCGAGGGCCCTGCTCCTTGGAGCTTACAATCTAGGAGGGAGGGTATAGTGGTACAGGAGGAAATAAGCTGTGGTGGATGGAGTGGTAGGAAGAATGGAGGAGATCGGCAATTAGGTGAGGGTGACGTAGGCTTCCCTGAAGAGATGGGTTTTCAGGGTGCGCCTAAAGGTGAGGAGGGTAGGTGATAGTCTGATGGATTGGGGTAGTGTGTTCCAGAGGATGGGGGAAGCCCTGGAGAAGTCCTGGAGATGGGCATGGGAGGAGGAGACCAGGGAACCAGAGAGTAGGAGGTCTTGTGAGGAGAGTGCATTTTGAGTGGTAGATGGATATCAGGTCTGTGATGTAGTTTGGGGCAGTGTTATGAACAGCTTTGTATGTCAATGTTAGTAATTTGAATTTTATGCGTTGGGCAATCGGGAGCCAGTGGAGGGAATGGCAGAGGGGGGTGGCAGATACGGAGCGGTTAATAAAGTGGATGAGTCTGGCCGCAGAGTTCAGGATAGACTGAAGCGGCGATAGCCTGTGTTGAGGTAGGCCGGTGAGGAGGGAGTTACAGTAGTCAAGTTGTGATATAATAAGGGAGTGAATGAGTTGCTTTGTAGTTTCTGGAGTTAGGAACAGACGTATTTTGGAGATGTTGCGGAGGTGGGGTCTACATGAATTTGTCAGTGATTGGACCTGGGGCTGGAAAGACAGATTGGAGTCTAGAATGAGACCTAGTACTCTGGCTTGCTTGGTGGGGCTGATGGTGGCATTGTTGGTCGTGATGGCTTGGTTTTGGCAAGGTTTAATTTGAGGAAGTGGACTGACATCCAGTCTGATATGTCGTTCAGAAGGCTAGTGATTCGGGCGGAGACTGAAGGGGTGAGGCAAGGGGTAGAGAGATAGATTTGAGTGTCATCAGCATAGAGATGGTAGTTGAAGCCGTGGGAGTGTATCAGTTGGCCAAGGGAGGAGGTGTAGATGGAGAAGAGAAGGGGCCGAGGACAGAACTCTGGCTTGCTTGGTGGGGCTGATGGTGGCGTTGTTGGTCGTAATGGAGAAGTTGGGGGGGGGGGGGCGCGGGCTGGGGGGAAAACCAGGAGCTCAGTTTTGGCAAGGTTTAATTTGAGGAAGTGGAGTGACATCCAGTATGATATGTTGTTCAGAAGGCTAGTGATTCGGGCGGAGACTGAAGGGGTGAGGCAAGGGGTAGAGAGATAGATTTGAGTGTCATCGGCATAGAGATGGTAGTTGAAGCCGTGGGAGTGTATCAGTTGACCAAGGGAGGAGGTGTAGATGGAGAAGAGAAGGGGCCCGAGGACAGAACCTTGAGGGACCCCAACAGAGAGGGGGAGTGAGGGGGAGCTGGCAGCATTATAGATAACACTGAAGGAGCGCTATGATAGATAGGAAGAGAGCCAGAAGAGAGCGGAGTCTCTGAGGCCAAGAGAGTTTTTTTTTTTGACGAGGGGGTGGACGACCATGTTGAAAGCAGCGGAGAGGTCGAGGAGTAGGAGCACTGAGTAGTGGCTATTGGCTTTGGTGGTTAGCAGGTCGTTGGTGAGTTTGAGTAGGGCGGTTTCGGTGGAGTGTAGGGGACGGAAGCCAGACTGTAAGGGATCAAGGAGGTTGTTGTCGGTGAGGTGGGAGCGATTATAGGCTAAGCGCTCAAGGAGTTTGGATGTGAATGGCAGCAGGGAGATGGGTCTAAGTTTGTTTAGGTCGGTGGGATCCAAGGAGGGTTTTTTAAGTATGGGAGTGATGTGTGCATGCTTCAGAGGGGAGGGGAATGCGCCAGTAGAGAGGGAGAGATTAGATCTGCAGAGTATTGCTCCCAAAGAGGATAAATAAGTGTCTGGATATCTGGGTCTCCCTGACCTGCAGAATATTATATCAACAAGCTGAGAGAGGAACAATTTGAAAAGCTGGTCACCGCTGAGTCTGCCTGCAGAGTATTGCTCCCAGAGCAAAAAAGTGCAATTGCTGGTTTATCATTTAACTGGCAATTTGCTCTGGTGAGTTTATTCATTTCTGTTGGTGGTAGATTTGCACAAATCTGTTCTTGTGGTGATGGACATTGTTCTCTGTTGATGGAAAGAGAAAATTCTTAAAGACAATTTTTGGTCACATAACATAATTTTTTCACTGTTTAATTTTACCACTATTTAATTTGTACATTTAATTAGATAGCGCTACCTTTTTTTGTTTTATTATTGTAACCTTTATTTTAAGGGTAAGGTTTAGCAGCTTGTGTTAATTGATTATATGAAAACACTTTTTGGGCCTATTTCCACTTATATTTTTTCTCACTGTCTGTATATTTACCTACAAGTTCGATTTGTTTCACAATTTTACATTTTAATGTACATGCTTGAATTGTTTGATTTGTTTCACAATTTTACATTTTAATGTACATGCTTAAAATAACAGTAAACAGTAAATTTCATCAGATTTTACTTTGCAGGAACATGTAGAACAAACAGAAGCGTTATCATTGCATTTGTTACTTATTTTATATGACACCTGCCACATCAAAGACTTTGGCTAATGGCAACTTCCTCTATAACATTTTATTTTTAAACAAAACAGTTAGCATTTATCTAATCAGATAACTGAATCATATCTTGTGTTAGAACATACTGTATCTCAAGATCTCTGCATCTCAAGGACCACACACAAAATAGATCACAAGCATAAATAGCACCAATGTATTTTATTTTATTCTGGTTTTAGGTGACTTTTTGTCAGCTCACAAAAATGTATATATTTTTTTATTCTGTAATAATATTTTTATGTCTTTTTAAAGACATCAGTTGGAAATACCTGTGGTGGCCATTACTGGGTAAATGTATGGGACCATACAATGGGGTCCTTGTAAGTACAAGCATCATGGACCTGCTTTCAGTCACTCTCGGAACACAAATCAGACTGTAAGTGATGGAACGTTTATTATTATTTAAAGGAAAAAGCCTACAGACTTTGGAATCTATAAATCCTAATTCTTGGCTACTGAAATTTCCATTAACATCTAGCATCATGCGGATTTCAGTGTGCAGAATTATATGCTTTATTACATATTGATCCCATCATTTGAATGCAAAATACAATCTTCTTTCTTCATAAGTAGATAGTAATATTAACCACATCAAAACAGTTTTTCAAGCAATTCCCTTAGTCTAGTCTGAATTCTAGTGAACTGAGATAATGGAGCCTTAGGTCTGTCTGTGGCATGTACCAGGGTTTATGAGTCAGATGTTTCTAGCCACCTGTGTTTATTTGCATCACATTGTCTTTGACTCAGGCAACATTTTTGGGAAACACATGTATTTATGTAGTCCAATTAAAAATCTTATGATAAAATCCTGTTCTCCATATGTCATGCATCTAAGATTTTGAAACATGGATTTGTGAAAGAGGATTTTTTACACATTTCCTGACACTGTTGTTGGCTTCTCTGTCACAAGCAGACCTTTCACTATGAGATCTGGCTTTACATCCTGACCATCAGGTGCCTGGATCTTTATCAGTGGTGGCCATTAAGAAATCTCAGTCTACTTGGCATATGAAGTAAATGCCTGGAAGAATTCATATAATAATTGCATACTTTGACAGATGGAGTCATCAGAGACAAAATATTCATCTCAGTCATTCAGTATGTCCTCCTTACTGATCAGAGATTGATGTTTTCAATTTCCAGTCTTGGGGAATTCAAGAGTGCAAATAGAGGTGATGACATTTTAAGTGCAATACCCATAAGAACCAATCAGATTTCAGTTTTCTTAGGTTAGTGAAAGATTAATTTGAGTAATTGACATAAGTCTGCTTCTTTGCACTATGAAAATAATCATTGCTTTTGTCACTTCGTTATTTAATAATACTGTAAGGTTTTTTTTTTTTTAAATGTAAATTTTTTTGTACTCAACAGGGCAAGTTCCAGAACTATAGATTACAAGACTTACAAGATTGTAGTGCAATACAATCGGGTCTAAATGGGAATAATCATACTGTCCTCTCTGCTCCGCCCAAGAACTCCTGCTGTTTAGCTCCCTTGTCTCCTCCTCCCGTTCATGTCTCTAGGACTCCTCCTACCATTCTCTGGAACTCTCTACCCCAATCTGTGCGGCTATCGCCTACTCTATCCACTTTTAGGTGATCCCTGAAAACACATCTCTTCAGGGAAGCCTATCCTATCTTCAGCTAACAACTGTATCTTTTATTTCTCCCATCAGTTCATCCCTTACAGTTATTACCTTTTGTTCCACTTGCCCCTCCCCATTAGATTGTATGCTCC